AGAAACCTCCCTCAAGGAGACAGAAACGTGGGTGGGTGTCAGAAGACATGTACCGTAATCCAAATTTGCTGGTACATGGCCAGTAATGAGGTGGAGGGCAACAAATCTATAAGAAGTGGGCCTGCAGAACTTGTGAAAATCAAGCTGATACTCAGACCAAAGCCAGTGAAGAAGCCTCGGCTTCTGCCACTGCAGTGGTCAAAGCTAACCAGGAGGAGGGTGAGAGGTGTAAGGCAGAGAGTAAGCAAAGCAACCAAGAAGAAGGCCTCCACAATTCATTGGAGAAACTCAAGCCACAAGTTCCTTAGTGGAGGCCTCCCCCCACCCCCTGGTGACCTGAGCCCTCTGCAGCAATGAATGAAATGCACTTGCACAACTTGTCCTGCTTCTACTGATGTAGGACATGTCCAGTAACCAGGAGGAGGTCGAGAAGACTATATGAAGTGGGCCTAGAAAACTTGTGCAAATTGAGCTGATGCTCAGGCCAAGGCACCTCAACATCTGCCACTACAGTGGTCCTGAGAAAGGCGAGAAGCAGGCAGTGTTCTACCCACCCAGCAAGAAGATTTCCTTCAGAAATAATTCCAAAATTCTAAGGGTGCAATGAAGAGGTTTAAGGCACAGGGCAAGTGTTGATGCTTGTGCCAAAGCCAGTCAACAGCTTCTGGGCGAGAAGCAGGCAGGATTTTTACACGGGTGCAATGGAGAGAGGTCAGGTCATGATGTGTCTGTTTACGCTGAGGTGTAAGGCAGAGGGCAAGTGGGCCAAAGAGCTTACTACCCAGAATGTGAAGGTCTTGGCCAGCAACAAAGAAGAAGGTTTGCAAGGCAGAGGAGTAAGGAATGGATTGCTGTAGGGCACACAGCAATTGCTTATGTTCATGCTAAAGCATGTGAAGAAGCCTCAGCTTCTGCCGCTGCAGTGGTTCTAGCTCCCAAGGTGGGAAGCAGGCAGTTTTCCCCACACAGCAAGAAGCTTTCCAAGTGTAAGACAGAGGGCAAGTGGGGTGAAGAGGTCTTAGCCAGCAACAAAGAAGGCTAGCAACCAAGGAGAAGGCCTCTGTGATTCAGAGGAGAAACTCAAGCCTCATCAGCTTCCTTAGTGGAAGGAAACCTCAGCTTCTTTCACTGTTCAAAGCTAACCAGGAGAAGGTTGAGAAGTATAAGGCAAGTAGAAAGTGGGGTGAAGAGCCTACTACCCAGAACATGGAGGTCTTGAATAGCAACCAAAAAGAAGGCCTCCACAATTCAGAGGAGAAAGTCAAGCCACAGCTTCCTTAGTGGAAGGCACCCCCTGTGACCTGAACCCTCTGCCACTGCAGTAGTCACAGTTCAAAATGATGGCTTGCTTTGTGATAAGCAGCAACTCCACAGATACAAGGCTGCAATGGAGAGGTGTAAGATAGAGAGCAAATGGGGAAAGAAGCCCACTACTTGGACTGTGGAGGTCTTCGCCAGCTACCAAGAAGGTCAGCAACCAAGAAGAAGGCCTCAGTGATTCAGAGGAGAAACTCAATCATCATCAGCTTCCTTAGAGGAAGGAAGCCTCAGCTTCTTCCACTGCAGTGGCCAAAGCTAATCAGGAGGAGGGTAAGAGGTGTAAGGCAGAGAGCAGACGGGGCAAAGAACATGGTACTTGGACCATGGAGGTCTTGGTCAGAAACCAACAAGAAGGCTTTGTAGCCAGCAATGATGGCAAAATTCCAAGGGTGCAAAAGTGTGTGAAGAAGCCTCAGCTTCTAGGTGAGAAGCAGACAGGTTTTTTTACAAGGGTGCAATGGAGAGAGGTCAGGTTGGGACGTGTCTTCTTGGTTGCTGAGGTGTATGGCAGAGGGCAAGTGGGGAGACTACTACCCAGACTGTGGGGGTCTTGGCCAGCAACCAAGAAGAAGGCCTAAGAAGGCCTGCACAATTCAGAGGAGAAACTCAAGCCTCATCACCTTCCTTAGTGGAAGGTCCTTGATACAACCTGAGCCCTCTGTCACTGAAGTGAGCACAGCTTGCCTTGTGGCTAGCAGCAATGACTCCAAAGTTATGAGGGTCCAACAGAGAGGTGTAAGGCACAGGGCAAGTGCTGATGCTCATGCCAAAGCCAGTGAAGAAGCCTCAGCTTCTGCTACTGCAGTGGTCAAAGTTAACCAGGGGGAGGGTGGGAGGAAGGTAGGGTTTTCACCAGCAAGCTTTCCCCAAGGCAAAATACATGTATCCCAGTCAGAACTTGCTAGGACATGGCCAGTAACCAGAAGGAGGGTGAGAGGGCTATGAAGTGGGCCAGAAGAACTTGTGCAAATAGAGCTGATGCTCAGGCCAAGTCATCTTAGCTTTTGCCACTGCAGTGGTCCTGAGAAGGGCGAGAAGCAGGCAGTGTTTTCCCCACCTAGCAACAAGCTTTTCCCCAGCAATGGTTCCAAAGTTACAAGGGTGCAACAGAGAGGTTTAAAGCACAGGGCAAGTGCTGATGCTCGTGCCAAAGCATGTGAAGAAGCCTCAGCTTCTGTCACTGTAGTGGTCCTGGATCCCAAGGACAAGGGTGGGAATCAGGCAGGGTTTTCTCCACACAGCAATGAGCTTTTCCTCAGCAAGGATTCCAAAGTTACCAGGGTGCAATGGAGAGGTGTAAAAAAGGTATTAAAAAAACTTTAAAAGTTATTTTCAGATTTTGCAAGAGGAAGACATTAAGTCAATTTTTCATTACAGCAGAAAGTGTGCTATGCATGAAAGCATCAATATTGTAATGCTAAAGCCTGAAGCCTATAGCCATGGGCCTTCCGTGAAGGTGGGGGAAAGAATATTTTGCCCCAGAAGCACCCCCAGACATGGGGAAGGTGTATGCCCAAAAAGTCCCAGCAGGGCAGAATACCACAGCCAAGAAGCTAAGCTGCCCAGATTGAAATCCTATGTCAATGGGACTCAAGGCTACAGAGAGGTGTAAGGCAGAGGGCAAGTGGGCTGTAGGGCCTACTACCCAGAACACGGAGGTCTTGGCCAGCAACCAAAAAGAAGGCCTCCGCAATTTAGAGGAGAAACTCAAGCTTCCTTAGTGGAAGGCACCCCCTGCAACAAGAGCCCTCTGCCAATGCTGTAGTCATAGCGCCTGAGAACAGCTTGCTTTGTGGCCAGCAATGATAGCAAAGTTACAAGGGAAGAAATCCTCCACAATTCAAGTACTACACAAAGGGGAAGCCTCAACAGTACTTGTGGCCAGCAACCAGGAGAAGGAAGTAAAACAAGTTCAGGAACCAGGAGGTGGGCATTTCCTTCCCCGCACCTCCCCATGGAGAAAGAAGCAGGGAGTGTTGATGCATAATTACCTGCCTTATGCTCACTATCTGCTTTCTCATGGAAAGGAATCAAACTGTAATTCTATATATAACAGAGGTGCAAAGCTGGCCGCGGCACTGAGGAGTCACCTCATCCACTCCATCCGTCTCTGTGGGGGCCCCTAAGTGTTGTGCCTGGGGCAGTTGCTTGTATTCAAGCCCCTCTAGGGATGACCCTCAGGGCACACATAAGTGTCAGGTGTACCAAAGGTGGCATGTAGCACATTGACATGTCCACTTTTGAATTGCATGTCACACAAGTGTGGCATCAAATAGCACTCAAAGTTTCACTGCACCCCACTCAGTAAGCCCGCAGTCTTCGTGAACTTTGGATTCACATTGCTGTGCCCCTCAGGGGAAAGCCTCATTACTGGGATGAGTCCTTCTCTGCCCCTGCTGTGCTGTCATCCCTCGCCCACCTCAAACCTCCCTCATTAATACAGCAAATGTGCACCCTGACCTATGCTCCCCCAATTTATAGTGCTTGAGTGGGGCAACTCCCTCCGGCAGCCTCATTTGGGTGTGGAAAAAAGCTCAGACACTCTGGGGCTGGCCTGGAAAAGAGCATGAAGAGAAGGCAGAAAAGTTTGCAAAGTCCCTGGGTTTGTTTGCAAGCAAAGCAGGTCAAGGAAGGCTGGTGGCTTTCCAAAAAGCAATCCAGGCTGGCTACTGGGAGGTCACACACCTATTTACCTCTGGAGCCCCCCTCTGTGTACCTGTGCAAGAGAGATTGTGTTTGTGTGTAAGCAAAGCTTCAAACCCCAGGGCGTTCCTCCCCTCCCCGCCCCACCATGTGCAAGAGAGATTGCCAACCCCTCTCCCCCAGCACCATGCAGGAAGTGGCAGGGAAAATGAGCAGAGGGACATGAACCCAAACAATGAATGATATCCACCTTTTTAACCAAGCAGTGTAGGGGTGGATATGGAGGCAAACACAAGAAGCCAAGAAACCATGAGTTTTTATTTTTTGTAACACAGTATTACAGCAGTTACTTGAGCTTCTTTGCCTTTACCCCGCCATGACCCTGAACTACCCGTCTCCCTGAAATGCAGTGATGCCCTCCTGGCCCTTCTGGCAGTCATATGGCCCTGCTGAATTAGGGGGAACAGGCTCATTTGTAATTCTTGGCTCATCTTGCACAGAGGCAATACGAGCAGACTGACTTTTCTCTTTTAGGCACCATACCCATTTCTTTAGGTAGGTCTGCACACTCTGAAAGGCGTCCTTGAAAGTGTCATGTGAACTCTGTAATTCAGCATGGGACTCCTCAACCATGCCTTTCAGATTCTTCATGGTGTCTCACACTTGCTCAAGGATGGCATCCTCCTTACGCAGGGACTCATGGAGTTTGCCCTGCCAGGCATCTTCGCGTTGCACTTTGGGTACTGAGGAATCTGCAAAAACTTCAAGGACATTGCTGCGAAAATCTCTACAGTGCTCTGCTGAAGTGTAAGTGGGGCACCATTCCCAGTGGCCATGGGTCACAGTGACA